GATAATTCACTTGATATCAAACTTAATAATGAACACTGTATTCATTTTTTCACTTTTTTAAAACACATGTTACAAACTGTGTAATATATTAAGACCACTTTAACTATTGTTGGCAAAAAGAGAATAATATTACAAATAATAATAACTGAAAAGTCCTGCCATTTATAATTTATCACTGCATATCTAATAGAAAAGTAATATGAAACAAAGTTCCTACATAAATATGAAAGAAAATGTTACAGTATATGGATAAAGACATTCCTTAAGATATCTAGGTCTGTAAGGCAGGGATCCATTACTTAATGATATAGCATTACATGCAGCTACAAAAACTTTGAATATGGTTTTCGGAGATCTCAAACATTTTTATCAAGTTATAACTTGATAACTTGAAATATGACAGAAGAGGATTTTTTTGTTTGGTTTTTGTTTGTTATGTTAATTATATTTAATTGTAGCTAAATAAATGAATCAAAGTTCACATTTGTTTTTCAAATGTGCACAAAAAAGTTGACACCCCAGTTACAAGTGCTTCAAATAATTCTTAACTACTGCTACCATCTGAACATACAAAGGACAATAGCAGGCCATTAAGTAAATTTTGGATTTATGATTATATAAAATGTAAAAATTAATTTTTTTAAAATGTTGAATTTTTCCAAAAACATTTGCAAAAATATTATTTCCACAGTCCAGGAATCAGAAGCTTTTTCTCTCAGATTAGGAGACGTCATACAGTTAGTCGTTTTTAACAAACTGTGACAGTTTGAGGAGGAATATGACTGGTCCTTGTAGTTGTGGCTGTTGCAACATCCCTGCAGTCACATGATCATGTTTCGAGTGCTTGGCAGCAAGCTTGTGGTTATGTGATTGCAACCTTGGCTGTCAGCTTCTGACAAGCAAAGACAATGGGAAGATGGCAGGAGGTTCCAAAAAGCAATCATGTGACATCATTCCTAATGACCACATAGGACTTGTTTATGACCACAGGAATGCTACAACTGCCATTGTAATTCAGTGTGATCATAGGGCATCACACTTTAGAACTGCATCACTTAGTAACACAGTCCTAATTGCCATTGGTAGCAAGGACTACTTGCATAGGTACTCATGTTGCTTTTTAGATTGGCTTTGCTTTGAGCATAAGTTAACATACATTCCCTTCCTTCCTGAACAGCTCCACGTACAGCAGTGTTTCTCAACCTTGCCAATTTTAAGGCATGTGGACTTCAACTCCCAGAATTCAATGCTGGCTGTGGAATTCTGGGAGTTGAAGTCCACATGCCTTAAAATTGGCAAGGTTGAGAAACACTGACGTACAGTTTCACATACTGTCTTGTTAGTTCTGATGGTCCTAAGATTGCTACTTGGTGTTTCCTCTGATGCTGTAGTCCAGAGGCTCCCAACCTTTTCTATACCCCACACCCCTAGAACGCTTCTGATATATTCTCGCCCCCCTTACAAAGGTTCAAAATAATGACAATGAATTATGCATATGCACTATAATTTTGAAAACCCAAGTTTTCGCACCCCTTGGAATATTGTCTCTCACCCCCAGGGGTGGGAGCATCCCTGTTTGGGAAACCCTGCTGTAGTCCAAAGGATAGCATTGGGAATTGCGGAAACCAGACAGAAATACAGGCAATTGGTTTGGAGACCTGTCATGATGCAAAAAGTTTGACTCCAACTACTCTTTGGGATCATTGGAAAGGATTGGTTGATAGAATGTATATGAGAAATCATTGATGGCATTCTAAAATAAGAGTCCACAGTTTGTCACTTATTGGTAGTCAAGTCAGATTTAAGTTTTAAAATCAGACAGTAGATCCTACAGCTAGTCCTCAACTTATGACCAATCACTTACCTACCATTTTAAGTTACAATGCAACCTTAAAAAGCTACTTATGACTCAGATGTCCTGTCTCAGGCCAAGCACACGCACACACCCAAGAGGCAGTTGCAAACTTGTTATAACTAAAACGTAACAAAAAGCCATGTTCCAACACATGTAAAGTAACCAAGTTCCCACCTGTCTAGCAACTTGAATAAATAAAGAGTTCCAAGTTCCAGGAAGTCAGAATAAGAGGGGTCAAATGGTTCTGGAGTCGAAGGCATATAAGAGGTTATGGACCAGTAAGTTCCCAAAAGCATGAGGCAAAGGAACAAGGTGAGATGAGGCAAGGCAAAGTGAAATGAGGCAAGGCACAAAGAGCTGGAGTAACAGAGGATTTTTTCTGACATCAGTCCTAATTCCAAGCTCCTCAGAACAGCCTAGTGTGTCTCATTTGGGAAAGTAGGGTTGCTTTCTCACAAGTAGCCTCACTGACCTCCATGCTCTTCCCTACACTGCTCTGTGTGCCCTTGCATTGGAAAGGGGTGGCAGTTCATCTTCCTCATTGCGTAACAGTAGCAGCTGTTTCCTCTGTCTTTTGACCAGCCCCACCTCTTCTGCCACTCAGTTGGCTGTTCAACTGGTGCCAACTGCTTGCCTTCCATAGATATCTGAGGAGCTAGTTCCATGTCATCAGACTCAGAATCTAAAGCCTTCATGATACTGGATTCAAAGTTCCACTATTTGGGTGCCCTCTTCTGTCACATAACCTGCATGTTGAGCTGTTGGCAACTGACCCATATTTACGGCTGCTTTCAGTGTCCTGCAGTCATGTGACCATGATTTATAGGTAGTCCTAGACTTGGTACTGTAATGGAGCCTGCCCATTACAATTGTAGGTCATTGAAGTCATGAAGTGAGGTGTCCATGTGGCGGCCTTGCTCAGTTACTGCTGTCCCACCCTTCCCAGATGTAGTTGCTAAAAGAATGGACCAAAGAACTGCCTTCTGAAAGAGAACAGGCAGCTCCCTTCCAGGCCCAGAACCTGTGCACTGGGCTGGAGAAAGGAAGCTTGGGATCACGATGATTTGAGCTTCCTTTCTCTAGCTCAGCGTGCTGGCGCTCTCTCTCTCTCTCTCTCTCTCTCTCTCTCTCTCTCTCTCTCCTTCCTTCCTTCCTTCCTTCCTTCTTTCACTTTCTTTCTTTCTTTCTTTTTCTTTCCTTCTTTCTCTCTTTTTCTTCTCTCTCTCTCTCTCTCTCTCTCTCTCTCTCTCTCTCTCTCTCTCTCTCTCTCTCTCTCTCTCTCTCTCTCTCTCTCTCTCTCTCTCTTTCTTTCTTTCCGGGGCAGGAAGCTGGTGTGATGCACTGTATAAATGATACTAGGAGAGTTTCATTTTTAGGCAGCGGCATTGCCCTATCCTCCCTGGACTTTCTAGCCCGCAGCAGGAAGGGGAGCTGGTGCACTATGCTGTAAAAACAAAGCAACTTGCAATCTTCTCTGCTGGTTTCCCAGTTGACCAGAAGCCAGAAGGGAAGATTGCAAATGCCAATCACATTTTCACAGAGGGCATAACAATCTATTGAAAGTGTGCAGTGACAAGCCAAGAGCCCAGATCGCAATCACGTAGCTTCAGGGGCACTGCATGGCCATAATTTCAAGCAATGGTTGTAAGCACCACTGTAATTTAAACAGTAATTGAGGACTACCTGCATTTCAGTTTTGGTGGAAACTGGCATTTATTTCTGATTTCTGGCAAAATCGCCCAATAACGATCAATAGATTCACTTAACAATCATGGTGTTTACTTAACGATCATTGCAAAAGATTATAAAATTGAGCATGGTCACATAAGTCATGACTATCATGACTTATGACCAAAATCATGGGTTCAGTTATGATCATAAGTTGAGGACTACTTATTATGTACTTGCATATAATTTAGGGTAAGATAATCTGATTATTATAAATTGTCTTGCACTCTGATTATGGTTTTGTTTCTTCTAGTATCTCCTGAGGCAGTTGGATTTCTATCAGCAGTTGGGGTACTTATCATCTTGCTGTTGATTCTATTTCTGTATATTAACAAGAAGATGTGTTTTGAAAATATTGGAGGTCTTCCAGACCTTAATTCCCATTACAGTTCCCGAAAAAATTCACAGGACAAACTGCGTAAGTATAAAATTCTGCAACATATGATTTTGAAAGACGTAGAAAACTTCTAGGGCAGTAATGTATCATGGAATGAAAGTTTGGTTGAAATAAAAACGTATCTGGTAAACTCAATATTTTTATTAATGTGTCTGTAGTGCTTGGTCACAATTATTTATTTAGAGAAATTATTTCATTTAGTTGAAGTGTTGAATTTTTAAATTATACCATCAGAATAAAATATAGCAAAACAAATGTATTTTCCCAGATATATGGGAGAATGTTCTTATAGATTCCTCCATATAAAGAAAGCTAGAGGTGGAAGAGACTATCCAGCTGAAGCTAAGATTAGTTATTGAATTATTTCCTTTCTGATACATTGGTCTTTTGGACTACTGAGTGCATCATCTTAGCCCTGACCTGGATGTTGCTGCAGTGTCTCAAAACACTACATCTAACTGATGAGTAGGGTGGATGGGTTTTACCTTTTATCTACATTGAGTGCAACCAGAAATTAGATAAACCCATTAATTTAAGTTAGGCTTTTATGTTTATATTTTTTTTTAGATCATATCCAAGCCTCTGGAATGTTTTCAGTCTGGAATAAAGTTATGTTAGGGCATACTTTATAAGTTCTTTATACTAGAAAAAGGCAGGGAATGCGTGTTATTAATTATTGTTTTGCACTAGCCCAAAGCATATTCATTTTGGTATATTCTTTAAATATTTAAACTTTTCCTTTGCAGGTGTAGAATAAAATCCAGCACCTGCTGTTCAATATGTTAAATATCTGGTTATAAGTAGTTCATATTTTACTATAATATTGTAAACATCCTAGAAAAGGATTGATTCTGGCTTCATAAAGAAAATATCTTTTCCTATGTATTACTTTCAAGATAATCAAATCAGAAGACTAATGTTAATTGCCCTTTAGTTAAAGATAAATAAATAGCTGGAGTGACCCATTCACAATATTGTGATTTTTTGTAACATATTAATTTATTAATATACAATTGAAATATGTCATTTTTCAAACATTTGCAACAAAATCTCAGAGTTCCTTCTGTGTCTTCCCTGGTTGACACATTAAGTAATGCTGTAGATGATTTTACTAGTGCTGTTGGTGATGTCAGCTACACAGTAGCTGACTCTATTACAGAGCAGGTAACAAGCATGTTAAGCAGTTTTCAGACAGAAAGCACAACTAGTACAGTGCAAGAAGGTAAACCTCTGCCAGACAAAGGTAAAACAGTGACATCACTAAATAATGTTAAAGAAAATTTTGTGAGAGAAGAATGTGTACCAGAAGAAAAACACAGACAAAGTGCTTCTTCAAAAATATGTACAGATGATGGTAGGAGGCTTTGTCCTGATAAAGGCAAAATAGATTCTCAGCAAAATGTTCCTGAACCAAATAAATTTTTTATTGAGACAAAAATTTGTGAGTCACATATAAAACATGCTCAGTGCAAAATTAACTACTTAGAAAAACATATATCAAAAGACCGCAGAGAAAATTACGGTACTTATAAGCCAGGGGAATTTCTTAATCATGAACCAGGTAGACAGTCACATACTGTATCAAATCAATCTAATGAAAGTGTGTGTGAAAAAATAAAACAAAACCCAACAGAACTTGACTTGAAAAACACTAAAGAAGTACCTAAAGAAACTGAGGAACAAACACTAGAACTGTCAGACTCAAGATCTGAAAAACTAAACCGTTTTCATGAAGTAAAAGGAAACAAATACAAGACACTTGTGACAAAGCAAGAAGAAAATGTAACATCTGATTTTTCAAAGAAAAATGAAAAGGAAAAGAATAAGTACTCAGAAAGTTTTTTAAAAGAAGTGAGTAGTAAGAAGACACCAGAAAAAGGTGAGGTGTCATATCATAGCCATACTTAATACATTCAGCCTTTCCAGATCTTTTACTACATTCTTCTTAGCTGTTTTATGGAATTCATTTATCTATAAAACAATTCTTTTTATGATATGTGTATTTTCCTAGAACTGTAGCTCTATTTTTATGAACGAAAGTACAATTCATAAAATGGCTCCTTTTCTTCTTTCACCACTTCCAATTTTGTCCCTGTGGCTCAGAAGGGCTCTCTAATAAGACTGTGTAATATTTGGATTTGAAGGCAAAAAGGTCCTTCAGAGTATGCAGCAGCACAAATTTAATATCTGTCTCAAAATAAGCTATGTTTTTGTAGAAAAAGATGCTGTACAGCCTCCAAAAGAAGATGCATTTTGTTTAAGGAATGGTAGATAGTTACTCTGTTTATGTTCCCAGGTATTCCAAAAAATATCATTTTGTATTCAAATCCAAAGTAATATACATCCCCAGTTTCAAATCCTTTTGAGAGGTTTTCAGGCAACAACAGAGGTTCAGAGAGTCAGTGAAAAAATGATTACCTAAATTGCCTTATATTCTTGCTAACATTATACACAATTTCTGAATATTGATTTGCACAATTTACTGACATACCTCTAAGATTTGCAGTAGTGGTGAATATCTGTAGCTCGGGTGTAGGATGAGGGCGAAGAATCGTTCTCCCACAAGCTCAGAGAACAAATCTTCACCCTTATACCTCTAAGTTTCAAAACATTTTTCTGTACTAAACATTGCTATTTATCTTAAATACCAGTTATTAAACTTTTTTCCACATTTTTCCTCTGTTTTTCCTTGATCTTTGTATGTATTGTATTAAATAAAAATAATACTTTCCATAGTTGACAAAGCATGCCCGGTTCATGAATTGCTGGCCGTGTGAGCCCTTCTTTCTGGTCTCATGAAGAAACTGCAACATGTGAGCATGGGAAGAAGGCCTCACATGGCCAGCTGCTGCCTCATGAAGAACCATGCTGGATATGCTTGGTCAGCTGGAGCAATGGAATTCAAGGAGGCAGGGGTGGTGGAGTGCAGGGAGGCAAAAAGCCAGAAATGGGGTGAATTAGGTGGGTGTGGGGAGTAGAAGCCCCTGTGCCGTCATAAGTGTGAGCAGACTACAATGGCTTGAATTTTGATCATGTGTCCACAGTGGTGCTACAACAGTACCATTAGTGCAGAGCCGCTTTAACTTTGAACAATCGCTGAACAAATGGTTGTAATTCAAGAACTACCTATATGAATCTCTCAGAAATAATAGTAAAAGAGAATCACCTACATAGAAATTATGAAGTCATAATGCAGTTCTTCTCCTGCTTGGTAAGAAAAAGATTTGGTTTAGTCATACAACTCCTGATGACTTCCTGGAATCATCCATTAGTCTGCATAGCAACAATATAGAACTAGTTTCTTATTGTTTTCTTTCACTGTGTTTTTTGACTTCCCAAACTAGCTTGCAGCCTTGGAATTTTCTTGTGATCTTCTTTTCAAATATTAATAAGATCTGATTGTACTGAGGTTTTCTGCTCAAAAAACAACAACTGTAAACAGGTTTTCTTAATAAAGATATGTATCCAATAGACAGAATAATGTAAACTACTTATTTCAATGTTATTTATAAATCTGATACCCTTTCTAGAAAGAAAAGTGAGAAATTCAGTGAAATATTGGGATGGGACAAAATAAAATGCAAATGGAGGAATTAAATGATATCAAAAAGCTAGAAAACAACTCAGAGATAACCCTGATATTCCTTGAGAACGTGATTATTTCTCCACTAGACGTTTTGGGCTTTCTGAAGCATTAATAAAACTAATAAATGAATACATTTATGTTGATTGTCTGGTTATTTTCATATTTAAGCTACTCAGTGTCTAGCCAAATATAACAAATATATCACCATCTGTTCATTTTTTTCTCTTTTCCCAAAATAGATAACTTATATAGAAATAAAGACCAGCATGGTTCATCATCGGAGAGTGAAGATGAGGCACTGGGCAAATACCATGAAGCCTTGTCGAGAACACAAAATTCATGGCCACCAGCAGGCGACAGTAGACAACAGAAAAATTATATTTGGGAAACCAGACAAAAATATAGTCCTTTGTCTGCAGAGTATGATGGGTATAGTAGTGAAGCCTCTGTAGATGAAGGTATGACATGATTTGCTATAGTTCTTGTTTCTCATATTAAAAAGTATTTTAAAGACATTGCATTTGTAAGATAAAAAGTATAGATAACAGTATACCCTAAAAATGACTGTACTATTGAAATAGTTTAGGATTTGTGGGTAAAAAAACCCTGGATGTTTAAAATGTGTTTGTTTTCTGAGTGCTTAGTGTATGTAAAGTCAACTTGGAAAAAAGCAATAAATGTGAAATCTTGGTTTAAAAGATCAGTTGGTAAAGAAGGTTATCTGTTATTCTAATTGTTCATTCATCGGAACAATTTTCTGTCAATTGCATGAGAACATTATGAGCATTGATGCAAATTACATTATGTCAATTTCATGATTTACATAAATGACAATTTTTCATTCAAATTTTCATTTTCATTATAGAAATGACAAGTTTGTGTAATGATGGCATATTGCAAATGACATAAATTGCTATGGAAATTTGCATACAAACTTTATTGTAAAATAAAGGTATCACTGAATTTTAAAATAACTGATGGAACACTTCCTGCTAGCTTTGGAACTTATCAGATTGCCCCTGCTGCAAGAAGAGGAACAACCTATTCAGTTAGTCCATCCTAACTGCCTGATAGACCTGACAGAGTTCCAGAGGAAACTTGGGATAAGTCCTGAAGCTCTGGTCTATGCTTCAATCGAGATCTTAGTCACTGCTTAGAATGAACAAGGGACAGCAGCCTTAGATTAGATCATGCCTATGCAAACTCTATGTGATTGGAGCCCACATGTCCCTCTGGTTCTCAGAGGAACTCTGGGAAATGAAGTTTCATAAGAAATGCCTATATTGTCTCTGGTGGAACATGAAGAATGGTTCTGACCAGATAAAGTAAGAGCCTTTATTAAAGACTAACCTGGTAGTAATAAGGGTTGGTGAAACATGCCTATTTCTTTGATAGTCTGCTGGTGACCTTGTTTCAGGTGATCTGGTCCTTTCTGGATAAGGAAGTGATTAGATAAACCTTTCTAGGGCCACTGTGAAAGCATCTGTTGAAAAATTGTTTTAGGATTCACTCAACGTTGATCTCCAGCTATTCTGGTCCTAGGAAGATGAGTGGTCCTTTGTTTTGTCTGGTTATCTGGGCTTGATTGGGTGGCTTTTGAAAAGGTGGAATAGAATCCTTGGGACTGTAAGCTCTGGTACCAGTGTATTAGACCAATGTCCTTCCTGGCTGATTAAGGGCTCCTGAGAACACACAGCTGTATTCAAGTTATAGTAAATGCTTCCTTGCTGAAAGGTGAGTTTCCATCTACTTTAAAGGAGGTGATTGTCTGCCCCCTCCTCAAGAGGCCATGCCTGGACCCAGCAGTACTGGACAATTTTTTTGTCAATCTTCAACCTTCCTTTGTTTAAAGGTGGTCAGGCTGTGGCTCAGAGGACCCTGGAGGAAATGAATTGTCTGCATTATCAGTTAGGTTTCAGTCTGGGATATAATACTGATGCAAAATCGCTCATGCTTGTCAGTGACCTCTAATGAAGTGAGAATGATGGTGGTGCAACTATCCTGGCCTCGTATATCATCCAGTGGCGTTCATTATCACTGATCTGATATACTTCTGGATTACCTATGGGGATTGGAAGAGACTCCAATTTCCACCCTTCCGCCAAAGTGGAGGGGGTGTGTAAAAGGTTATTGAAAAGGTGGTAGGTCTGCAGCTACAAAAGCCTCTGGCAGAAGTGGGTTACCTGGATCCATACTAGAAAACCTAGATACCTTTTCTTAGAATATACTGTATTTATGCAAAAGATTATGCCATACAGTAGCTTCAGGCTATGAGTGAAGTTCTACTTGTTTATGTTATGATATGAAACAGAAAGTGGGAATAGTGCTGAGCAAGCATGCTAATAGTCCCAGGCCATGACAAGTGTTTATTGTTGAATTATTGGGATATAGTAATCAGTTGCAGGATACAAAGCCTGTAGTTGTTTAAAGAGCACTCAGGTATTTGTAAGAAAATAACTGCTCAAAGAGGAGATTGTCTTTTAGACAGATTTCTTAAAATAAAATTGATTATTTTTTTTTGCATTGTTATTGTCTTCTACAGGATTTAGTTATTGTCATGTTTTTTAAATTAAAGATTGTATTCTTTTGTTCATTGTTGTAGGCTTCAGAAGGTAGAGCACATAATAAAAAATGTTAGTAGTAATTTAAACAATCAAAATATGTTTGTTTTATTAAAACTAGTTTAATCTGCAATATATTCCCCAGTAGTTTTTCTAGGAGTGCTTTTTTGGAAGACATGAATTGGAAATTGGAATTGGAAACAGTTGGTACAAGTAGACTGTAAGAAATCACTAACAATGCTGGTAAGAGAAATCCTACTGGAGCTGTAAGAAAGAGAGAATGAGACAAATAGCTTAATATTCTTTCTTGATCTGTTACTTTGCTTGGGCTGTGCAAAATTTCAACTGTTATTTTCTTTTTTTTTCCATTATAGTTTCCATTGTGAAACTATATTGTGTGAATCTGGAAATTTGATGGACCAAATCTGTTCTTTATTATCTAAGAGACTATGTCATTCCTAAATAGTGGACTGTGCTTTCTTAGGAGTTGTATTTGGCTTCTGCTTATTTCAGGTCTTTTGAATTGCTTTTATAGTGTGAACACTGTTGTATATTTTACAAAGAAATCATATTGCTTCTATGTATTCTGTTTTTTTGAATATGTTGTTAGCCTTTTTCATTATTGGCTTGGTCAAAATGATAGATTTGAAGTAAAATATATAATTACATAATTATTACTATCATACAAATATCTGTCAGACATAGTACCACACCCAGCAAAGAATCTCCTCTCTCCAGAAACATATTATCATACTCAGTAGTTAATTAACTGTAAGATCTTCATGAATGTGACTAGATAAATAGCTTTTATTTTAAAAATAAAAAGCATATATAAAACAATAACATCAAGCATTTGCTCTGTATTTATTTTCAGTTTCTTAATCACATTTCTTAGCAGAGAAATTATTATATACAGTACTTGCAATGAATTCAGTTTTATAGTCTGTCGTAATGTTTCCTTGATAAGTTTGGAGGACTATATGTAAGCTATATAGTAAATTAGCAGTTTGTTGCTGACCAGTACCATCTTGTGGTCTAACTGCAATGCTGCATCTTTGATTGTCTCAGTTGAAAACAGTTGTGGGGGCTGTTGGTTTGATCTCCGAGCTTGGCGATTTGGCTGCAAACGTTTAGTCTGAAAACAGCTGTTTTATTAAGACCCTTGATCCACCTTTAATCCATCCTTCTCCCCATGAGGGCGTGTTGTTGTATGTTAGAATTTGAAGTTAAAATTTGATGTTTTATATGATCTTTTTTTTTCTTTTTGTCACTTTTATGAATTGGTGTGTCTCCCCAAAAGAGTGAGTGAAAGAGCTGAAGCTTCTAGTAACATGTTGGGAAGTGGTTCTGTTGAAATTATCTCATTTTTTTTTCCTAATTTTATCTCTCATCAGAATAACAGCACCTGTTGTTAAAAGGGTTTTTAGACTAGGGTTAGGGAGAGGTCCACCAAGCTGCTATATGCAGATAGAAAGGGAGAGTCAGAGTGTGTATTCCAGGCATGTCCAATCTGCGGTCCAAGCTTCACATGCAACCCTGGAAGCTAGTAAATGCCACCCACAAGATTATTATGTGATTTTATATTATAAAACTATATATTTTATATGCTGCCCAAGACAACTCCTCTTCGTGCAAGGCAGGCCAAAAGGTTGGCCACCCATGGTGTATAACATAGGGCTTAAGGGAGAGGATATTTGAGATTTCCAGCTTTTCACCTTACGGGCCAAGCCATAGTACTAGACTTCTGAGAGACTGTCTGCATATTTCAAACTCAGTTTCTATTTTTCTTATTGATAAACAGCGAAAGTACTGTACATTCAATTTGCTTTTCTCAGCCATTCACGTGGCAGACCAAAAGCAACATTTTAACAATGTGAAATACTAATTCCCATATTGTATATTTTCGGGTATCTGATTTTATGACTCAACTTCACTTCTGACAATGTATGTACAGCAATGGGCTCCAACCTTTTGGGCGCCAGGAACCGGTTCTGTGGGGGGCGGTGTTTCCACAGACCTTGGGAAGCATGGTTCCGTACACTGCCTGGATCCCATGCATGCGCGCGGATGGGGCTTCACTTGCTTGTCTGGCCCAATTCCTGGTGATCCACAGACTGGTACCGTTCTGCGGTCCGGGGGTGGGGAATCTATGATCTACAGGACAGGCACTGTTCATCAACATTTGATTTTTTTTTACAAGGGAGGATAGTAATAATTTCCAAGCAAAGTGGTTGATCGTTTTGGAATTGTTTAGCTTATAGTATAAGCATGCAGGCATCTATTTTTTATTAGTTTTATGTTGAAAAAGAATAAGAAATAAACAGTTTTGGAAAGTTAAATCCTGTATGACTACAATTTCTCTTTCATGGAAACAAAAATTAGATTTTTTCCTATGAAAATAAAAATGGAACTATGGTTTTCCAAGAATTTGCAGTTTTAATGTTCAACAACTCAAGTGAATAACTTTTATAATAAAAATAGATGTTTAGCACAATATGGCTTTAGTATTTTCATAAGTACTGATTTTGTTACCAAAAGTATAAGCACACTTTGTCTTAAAATGTTCAAAGCATATTTAGGCTTATTTCTAACTTTTTCAGAGAAAGAACATGTTGAAATATGACATATTACAAATGAATTTACTTTGAATGCAGGAAAACATTAATAAAGAAGATTCAGTTATCGATCTGATTTGCAATGGAGAGATATCTATCTGCCCATCCTAGGACATAATGGCAGAGAAAACAGTAACCAGCACATCATTAACAAGATGAAAATACCACCAGCCTGCTCATGAATGATCAGAGCTGAACTACTGAAATTCTTGTCTCACATTAGAAATGAAGACTATAAAACAACATTTAGGCCTTACATATGTATTATGTTGACATATATAC